TTTCTGTCTTTGTCTCGTTCTTTCTTCCTCTGTCTTTGCTAGGTTATTTCTTGCTTTTCTGCTTGCTCTTGCTCTTTTTTCAACTTTGCTATCGTTCCTTTAGCCTTCCTTTCGGTCTATTATTCCTTTATGTGTCGTTCCTTTGCTCTTGCTTTCTTTCTTTCTTTCTGTCTGTCGTTCTGTCTGAATTTCGAGCTTTGTTCCGTTCTTACTTTCTCGCTTTCTGTTGTTGTTTCGTTCTCTGTTTCTTTCTTTCTTGCTTTCTTTCGTTCGGTCTTTATTTCTTTCGTTCTTTCTTTCCTTCGTTCTTTCCTTCTGTCTTTCCTTCTTTCTTTCTCTCTGTCTCTGTTTCGCTATGTCGTTCTTTCCGTCTTACTTTTTTCCTGTCTCTTTTGTTTTTGATGCGGTCTTGGATGCATTTTTGTTTTTGTTGATGCATTTTTGGTTTTGTTTTGATGTATTTTTGGCTTTTTGTTGATGCATTTCCGGCTTTTTTGTTGCATTTTTGGTGTTTTTTTGATGCCTCTCCCCCAAACCACCAGCCGCTGCGCCCACCGTGCCCGCAACTGCGTTGCCAAAGCGGCTTCGGCCTCTGCGGCTGGCACCGCCCTCTGACCGGCTCGTCGCACGCTCCGCACGGATTTCGCGTCAACTCCCTAACCCCTAGATCCCCAACCTCTAAACGAGAACCCTTCTGCTGCGCATTCGGGAAAAAAGCCAGGCAAGAGCTCATAGACAGCTGCCACGGTGGTCCACTGGGGCCATTGATCCAAGAAGCACAACTCACCGCCATTGGTGGTGCCTCCGTGAAGATCTACTTTGCCAGCTTCTTGGTCTACTTGGCCAGTCTTTACCAGATGGGTGGCAGCTGCCATGAGTTGCTGCACAGGAAACACCCATCCAATCCATCATCCATCACCAAGCTTTGGAATCTCATGGTGTATTCATCCGATGAAATCATCCCAGGGAACGTGTTGGGACGAGCTGCAAGACAACTTTGGGCTGTATATGCACATTCCACGAGCTAGGCCACTTCTTGAGCCACGAAGATGTGTGGCTGACCATCTCGATAGAAAGATCCAGCTTCGTCGGCGAGCTCGAAGGAGGAATCTGCCAGATCATGTCCACAGTCCTTTCCGCCATTTTTTGCAGCGACCACATCGAGCCCTAAGGTGGGTTCCTGCTTAAGGGCCCAGGTAGCCACGATATTCGTTTCCATTTCCAATGCGGCATTTGCCTGGCGGATGGTGCTGCCCACAACCAGATATGGTGCAGCAAAGGAGATGCCGGGACCAAATTCTGCCTCCTCTGTGCAGGTCACGAGGATGTTCTTGACCATGGCGCTACGAAGTTCCAGGACCTCATCTTGACGACGGACCACGCAGGAACTTCTCCAATCCTGCTCCTGTCCTATCAGAGGCTGGACGAGCACCAAACACAGCTAGGAGCAAGGCCCAGTTTGCCATGTGGCAGCAGGCCATGGGCTGAACATGGAATGCCCATGCTCAGGCACTGTTGTCCAAAGGCCAGATCCGACCAGTCAGCAAATGTTGTCATGACTGGATGCATGGAATTCTGCAAGGCATAGCCCCAGTGGCGCTACACCAGAGCATGCAGGCCATTGCCATGGAAGGCTTCGATGTTTGGTCCTGCATGGAGACCTATCTGCAACTCTGGAGCTTCCCAGGCACCTGGAAGGCAGGCCATTTGGCCACCTTGTTTGCCAGCAAGCACGTCGCGAAGTACAAGAGCACTCAGAAATTTCCCAGCCAAGCCTCGACCTTGCTTGGAATCTTTCCAGTGCTGCGGCATTTTTGTACACCATCGTCTTGCCAGCTGGAACCTGTCCAGAAGCATGCCAAGCTTTCCTGGCTCAGGCCAACCTTTTGGACATGGTACATTTGGAGCCACACACTACCAGGGCCAAGCTTCTGGAGGTTGCAGAGACTGCCATGGAAACCTTCCAGGCGGCGGACTTCGGGATCCCACTCATGATAAAGTGGCATTGGCTCCTCCACAGGCCAGACTTCCTCCCGAGACATGGGAACCTCCCATTTACATTTTCAGCTTCTGCCACCAGACTGCAGAAAACCACTGTGGCCATGGAACTCACAACCTTGAGCAGAGACCTACCAGTTGGTGAAGCCAAAAAAAGTCACCAAGCAGCAGTAGGTCCAAACCTGCACCATTTCGTGGATGGCCCAGCCACAGAGGCCCTGGTGGCTTCCACTGCCAGGCTCGCCGGGGTGGGGTCATCCATGCCCGAGACGTCGTGGTCTTCCAGCACGAAGACGGCAGCTGGGAGATAGGCCAGTCTGCTTCCACTTGGTGCTGGGCGGCCAGAAAGCCACGCTTCTCCAACGATGGAGTCCAAACGAAGTCCATTCCAAACCTTCCACTCTGAACCAGACCTTTAAACCCGAAACCAAACCCTGAACCCCTCCTCTGCACTACATGCTCTTTTTCTGCACCTCCTCCAACAGGGGTTAGAAATCCTGTGCGAGGCTTGGAAAAAAGGCTCCAGCCCTCAATTCCATGCAAGCACAAGCGGCCGGCTTTCAGGGCTTCGGCCCGGAAGCCCTAAAACCCCGACATGTTAAGCCCCAAGTTTTGGGGTCTGGGATTTAGGGCTAAGCCCTTAACTGTGAACCCTAAACCCATCGTCTCAGGAAATCTCCCGGGGTGTTGACCTTGCCTTGGCGTGTGAATTTGGGTTTGGTGTGGGGGGTTGAGGCCCTGGGCGCACAAAGGGGTTTTGGGTTGTTGACCCTCTGCTGGCTGCAGAGTTTGCAGTGGCTCATCTGGGCAAGTTGCGTCGACAACTGGCCGAATTCAAGTTCAGGTCGATTCAACATGAGCCCCGGCCGCAATGCGATAACACATCGCAAAATATCTTGAAAGTTCGTGATTTATTTTGAGAGAGATCATTGATCTCTAAAGCTGCAACATGCTGATATATATATATAATATTATATATAATATAATAT